GGCCTGGGGGATGAGGGCTCTCTCCTCTCTCTCTCTCTCTCTCTCTCTCTCTCTTGCTCTCTCGCTCTCTCTCTCCCTCCTCTTGAAATAAGTGTCCTGGAGCAAAGCTGCTCTCTGGCTTGTAGATACGGAGTCAACCCAGCTCTCCTCAGGCTGGGAAATGCTTAGCTTCCTTGTGCACAGGTTTGTGTCTGAGTGGATTCATGCACCCAGGCGAACATACGTGCTCCAGCTGGATAGTGTGAACCGAATAGGGTGAATCTGTGTGTGCAAGGTTGGTGTACCAGAGCCTCGGCAGGTGCTCACAGGCTTGTGTGTGTGCATGTGAACCTCTTTGTCAACAGTGCTAGGAACTGATAATAATAGCATTAACCATTTTATTTGTATCGCTTCTATTTTATTTTCAGAGCGTTTAGATATGTTTCTTGTTCGATCCCCCAAGACCTTGTGAAAGACAGAGTGCCATGTTCAGTAAAAAGTGCACATACATTCATATCTGCTACGCGAGGTAGTGTGTTGGAAAGGTTCTCTGTGAATCTGGGCTGGAACGCAGGTCTATGTGGTCATTGTCAGCATGGAGGTATGGACACTGGGCACCAAATCCCGTCCCTTCACTGCCACCTCTGCCCGTGCCAAAGAGCACAGGGGTCCTCTTGTCAGCACAAGTGGAGTCCATGTTGGCAGGGGCTCTCTGACTATGCACACAGACAGGGGACGAGGGGTCCCCAAAGGGAGGCTGAGTTTCCGCAACCCTTCACTCTTCTGTGACCTCAGCCTCTGTCTTCACGCCCTCCTGCTCTAATGGCTTCTTCTTTAGCCTAACAGCTTGCCTAGCTTGTCTGCATTCCAAGCCAGATTTACGTTTTCTCAAACTATCATGCCAGTCTCCTTTCCATCACTGCCAAAGCTCTTGGAAGAATCGCAGTGCTTGCTCTCCTTCCATTCTCTCCTCAACACACTGTGGGCTGGTTTCTGCCCTACCACGCTAGAACTAATACATACATTTGTTAATCCACATCTCAGCTAATCTCAGCTCCCCCTCTTCCTCCTTTATGGTACTTTATTTTTGGTGCCTCTTCTCCTCCACTTACTCTTTAAAAGGCTGGCTGGGCAGGGTGGCGCACACCTGTAATCCCAGCACTTGGGAGACTGAGGCAGGAGGGTCGCAGTGAGTTCCAGGTCAGTCTCAACTACATAGTGAGACCCTGTCCCCAAAAACACTAAACAAGCAAACAAAAAAGGAAATAAGTAAAATACTCGCTAAACTCCCAGTCCTCTTCTCTTTTATGTCTAAGTGTCATCTGTGCTCCAGTTATGTTCTTCCACCTCCCTTAGTCGCTGTTCCCAGCGCAGATGTCTCACCTGCAGTCTGGCCACTGTTAGCCTGCCCTCATTGGAGGCGTCTCCCTGTTGGACTTTGGGGATTAGTCTTCCTCAAACGTTGTATTATCTGACACCAATTTCATTATCTTTCCTCAGACCTGCTCTGATCCCACCCAGGACCACTACCAACCTAGGTGCTGCCTAAGCCAAAAGCCCAGGACGTACCCACTGTGTTTCCTCCATCACCCACGCATTTTCTTAGGTACCCAGCTTTGTTTATTCTACACCAACACATTTTCAAAACAAATGCTTATTGAAAACTCTATTACATGCCAGGCAGCATTGTCAGAGCAATCACCCGAGTCAGGCATCACTGCCCACCTTTAATAGATGAGGAGACTAAGAAATGTATGCATTGCAGATATGTACTCTTTTCTGTATTTCCAAAGCCACTGTACTTTCTGCACGTGTCCCTCAACAGTCCAGGAATTCTCTGAGATCAGGAATCGGATTGTGCCCTAGTGCCTGGCAAAGTACTTCACCCTCCGTGGGAAATTAATGAGGGATCATTGATGGAAAGCTGGAAGGAAGGAAGGAAAGGGGGAAGGAAAGGAGGGCAGGGAGGGTGATGTGAAGCAGGTTCATTGTGCGCTGGTCACCAGCTTGCTTGAGTCCAACCCAGGACACGTTCCACAACAACAAGGGATTTCTGTCCATAGACAGCAAGGGATTCTCCAGAAAGGAGCCCAGGGCAAATGGAATCGCAGCTGTAGATGTCCCACTTGCACTGCGACTGAGGGACCCCAGAAGCAGCCCCCCTGGATCTTATACTCCAGGGCAAGGTGAGTTGCTGGGCTACAGTTGTGAAGGACAGTCTGTTTCTGGAAAGACTGGAGCAGTGCCCTGGCTGTATCGGCCCATTCCTTCCTCTCCCAAGATACTGCATTCCCAGAACATTCTGCAGTTGCTCTTGGTATCAGTGTACAAGCAAAAAGAGAAGTGAGTAAGTTCAAGGCCACCTGGAGAACTGTCCCACAAGACAGAAGAAAAGGCCCACATCTACCTTTACTCCAGTCCTCCTCCTCTGAGCTCCACTCTTTGATGCAGACACACGTGTGGGAGCACTAGGGAAACCAACTTGGACAAAGTTCTCTCTGAGCCTATGAATGACGTTGTCTCCCAGTTGCATCCCTGTGCCAAGACCCTGTTGCGTCCTTTTCTGTACACACGACACCTTTGCCACAAGATCAGCCTCATTCTTACCTCGGGGCGAAACGGGCTCAGAGAAGGACAGAAACTTGTGCTGCTGATCAACAGCAGAATCAAGATTGGAACAGGGCGCTGCTGTATCTAGAGAGTGAAGGCCAGAGATTCAGTCCACAGCAATTAGAGATGGGTATTTCATGAAGATTATTTGAAGATGATGACAAATGAGAAAGCAGGGGCATTTACCGTGGTCCAGGAGACCTTCTGTGGTCCACAGGGCTGAGTGTGAACGTGTCTGGAATACGAGGAATGTCACATTGGTTCAGAGCCTTGCCATTTACATTTTATTATTAATTAATTAATTAATTTTGTATTGGGGATTGAGCCTCAGGCCCAGTACATGCTAAGCATGTGTTCTACCACTGAGCTACCTCCACACCCCCCACTGTTTATTTTTAAACTGTGGTAAAATATATGTAGCATAAAATTTATCATTTTAACCATTTTCGGTGTACGACTCAGTGGCATTAAGTACTTCCACATTGTTATTGCAACCCTTACTACTATCCCCTAGTACTCACATTGCAAAAGTGCAAACTCTGGACCCGTTATGGTAACTCCCTACCCCCCACTCCCTCCATCCCCTGAAACCACCACTGTTCTCCTGTCTATGTGTTTGATTCCTCTAGGGACCTCAAATAAGTGGAATCACGCAGTATGTCTGGTGCGTTTCACTTAGCACAATGCACTTATCCATGTAATATGTCAGAATTCCATTCCTTTTTTGTTCCTTTACAAAGCTGAGTAACATTCTTTTGTATGTATGTACCACGTGCAGTTTACATTTATATGCTTACTTAAGCTGATTATAATTTTATAGAGATTATACTTCATAGAGTAATAGGAGTTTTATAGAGCAGAGATTACATCCCCATTTTTCAGGCAAGGAAACTGAAATTTAGAAGGGAAACAGCTTGCCCGAAAGGCAGAAGTGAGGCAGAACCCGGTCCTATCTTGTTTATCTCATTCCTTACTTCGTTATTAGCTCACAAACTTCTACTCATCTGCCATTGTGGTTCTCAGACAGCTCAGAGTGGAGGGCCTGTGTGTGTCCCTCATTACATAAGTGTTTGTCAGCCCCACTTAGCTAGAGGAGGCACAGACTGAAACAGAGACCAGACTCCACCTCCAAGGACAGAACAGGGCTATAGGCAAGGAGGGCATTTTTTAGGCAGGATCTTTGAACTCTGACAGACCTGGCTCTGACTTGAGGGTCAGGCTCCTCAGAAGGAGCGGGTGAGTGGTCAGAGGATCTCTAGTAGGGAATAATAAGGGGTCTCAGGCAAGAAGATTTTGTAGGATTGGTTAGGTGGTTTCCTATGTGATTGTTGGACAGGCCAGCAAGATGCTTCATTGTATTCCTAGAGCCAAACTGTTTCAGATGTAGCTTCAAAGGCTGAGTGTGGGAGGAGGGAAACATACAGAGTACTTTGCCAAGCTTGGCACAACGCTGAGCCTGGCACAGTTAGAAGTGTATATGACAGTGGACTCGGGTATGAAATTAGGTGTCGGAAAGTGTGATGCGATGTCCAGTGTCCAGGCCCAGGTCCAGAGAAAGGGGAGGAGTCTTCTGCCATCTTGAACATTCGGCAGGGACTCTTTGTGTCCACTCCCATCCCAAGCCCTGTGGATGGGAGGTATCCAGAGGACAGATCACATCACATCAAAACCAGGCGTGGCCTGGCTCCTGTGCCTGATGCAGGCTATCGCAGAAGCCCTTGGATGTAGCCCAGACCCTCATTAATGGCATTGCTGAGCTCATTAAGTTGATCTTTCTCCCCTCTTTAGTGTCAGTGCTGAGCTGTCACCTCAGTCACTCCCAGCCTGGGGCTGGGTTAACCCTTGATGGCTCTCGCATCAAAGATTCTCAGGGTCCTGCACAAGCTGCTGTGGGTCCCCAGACACAGACTCAGAAAGACCAACCAGTGCTTGCCTATGGGTGGGTTCATGTCCCAGGGTTCGCATAACAAAACACCGCAAACAGACAGACTTACAAAACAGAAACTTGCTTACCTCAGTGGCACCATTCCTGCCTTGCAAGCACAAGGTCCTGAGTTCAATCCCTGGTACCAAACCAAACAAAAAAATAGAAATTTGCCTTCTCATACTTTTAGAGGCTAGAAATTCACAATCAGAGTGTTGGAAGGTTTTGTCCCATTTAAGGACTCCAAGGAAATATCTGTTCCCTGCCTTTCTGTGGCTCCTGGTGGTTTGTTGGCAATCTTTTAAAAAAAAAAGCATCTCAAGTAGGTGTTATTTCACCAATACAAACATTTGTTTAATATCTATTGGATTGTAGATGTCATGCTATGCATTTAACTGTATATAAATTTTGATTAGTGTGTGTTAGTAATACAGAGGAGCGCGGTTCGTTTTGGGGAAATTGGTACGTGCGTAGAGCATACCTTGATTGATTGCTGGCAATCTTTCGTGTTCCTTGAGTGGTAGATGTATCACTCCACCTCTGCCTTCATCTCTGCATAGTCTTTTTCCTGTGTGCATTTGTGTCCAAATCTCTCCTTTTGTAGGACACAAGTCACATTGGATTAGAGGCTACCTAATGGCTTCATTTTATCTCGATTGCTTCTATAAAGACCCTGTCTCCAAGTAAGGTCACATTTTGTGACATAGGGGCTAGGAATCCAACATATTTTGTCAAGGGACACAATTCATCCCATAATGTGGTATTCTTTACAAATCTCTTGACACCAGATGTCTTTAGGAAACTTATTAGCCTTTGATCAGAATAGGGTGAACTAGATCTCAGAACTTCCTCATAGGGCAGAATGATGGTGGTGTCTATGCCCGGGGGGAAGAGAAGAAAGAGAAAGCAGAAGAGAGAAAGAAGAGGAACTAAGAGAAAAGGAATGGGGAGAGAAATTGCATCCGAACTAATTTTTTAGGACTATGCTTATAAGAAAGGAAACTACGACAAAGGACTTGTAGTGACTCTCAGAGTGACCCAAACCATATTCTCTCTCTCTCTCTTTCTTCTTTCTTTCTTTCTTTTTTGACACAGGGTCTTGCTTTGTATTTCAGGCTGGCCCTGAACTCACTATGTAGCCCAAGCTGGTCTTGAACTTGCAGCAATCCTCCTGCCTCAGCTTCTTGAGTGCTGGGATCACAGGCATGTGCTACCACTCCCAGCTCAGACCAAATTCTTGGCCAGAGGATATTGATTTATATTACATCAACTTCCCTCTGACAGACAAAATGTTGAGTGAAGGAGAAGACTCACATAGAGCCTGGGCTCAGTAGTGCTGCTGCCTTCCTCACAAGCGCCAGGTCCCAAGTTTGATCCCTGGTCCCCCACAAAAAAAAAAAAAAAAAAAAAAAAAGAAAGAAGACTCACATAAAACAAGATATACCATACCATTCCAGCTACATGAATGATGACTAAATCTCTGGTGATAGAAGGTAGGATTCCCTTTAGTAGGCACTGATAGAGAGGGCAGAGTTGAATCTTCGGGGCACATTGATTTGGGAGGTGTGAACATGTGTGTGCCAGTTCATGGGGGTTCAAATTTAGGACAACTTCACTTTATAATATCTAAATTATATCAATCAATTAGTTAATGAAAGAACTTCTCTTCTTTTACTTCTTCTTAACTTTTCTTCTCTCCTCTGGCCACCTCAGGGCACCCTGTCTAATTGTCAGGTAGTTTTCATATTCTTTATGCTCACAAATATGAAGTAATACAAATATATAGCTGGGGTGTTATCTATCATATAAGATTTCCGTTATACGTCCATGTGCATTATGCTTTCAGATACAAGACTAGTGTCCAGAGATGACCTGGAATCCATCCCCATCTACCATTCATGGAACAAGGAGCCAGGCCCTGGGAGTGGATGGGTGTTCAGGCTTTGGTAGAAAAATGTAAAAAACAATGTTCTCTATCCCCAGGAACAGAACCCAGCTCAGCAGAAACCCCAAATCATAATTAAAAGATGCCCTGCAACTCCCTTGGCAGCATACATTTTGAAGATGAAAGTAAATGATTAAAATAATTAAACACTTCAAGCTGACAAGCTGGAGCAGAATCTTGCCAGCGGACGTTTGTCAGTAATTAGCTAATTAATCCTGGCCCAGATTATAAGCCATAGCAAACCAGTCAGGCTGAACAGAGCCGGCTGCTCAGAATTAGACTTTTAAAAAAGAAGGGAAGGGGTGGGAGTAGGAAAGGGCCCATAAGAGGGAGGGAGTTAAAATAAGAAGAAGACAGGCTTTGGTGGCCACCTGGCCTTATCCTCTCAGATAGTGTGGGCCCAGCTCTCCAGGGCTTCCTGCGGGGTTCTGATGCTCTTTCTAGGCTAGACACCCAGCCTGTGCTGGGATGTCAATCGAAATGCACAGTAGGAAGGTGAAACGGGGTGCGCTTTGTGTACCTCTGTTGCCCAGACCAGAAGGAACAGTGGAAAGGAGCACAGGTAGGAGGTAATAAGCACATCATACAGGAACCTAGGTGTGCTATCCATCATTCCACTCAGCGAGGGACCCCAATAATGACAAGAGTCCCTGTTTTTGTGGAAAGAAATGATAAGATCCAAATAGGGGATTAGGGACCAGCCAGGAAGTCTGGGGTCAGGCCAAACTTTGGACCAGTTCTCTCCATAGAAATATAACTCAAGCACAGATGTAATTAAATAAAATAAAAAGAAACAGATGAAATTAATTTAAATGACATACTTTATTTAACCCAGATATTCAAAATGCTATCACTTCATTTATAATTAATTAATATGAAGACATTTTCCATGAGCTCTTTTTACATTCCTTTTTTTTTAAAGCCCTCTCTGAATTCTGGTATGTGCTTTATACTTACAGCTCATCCCAGTTCATATGGGTTATATTTCAAGCACTCAGTAGCCACATAGGACCAATAAGAAGTGAGGGAGAGGAATGCTAAGCCCTGGGACAATTTGGAGCAAGGGTGGAGGAAGGAGAGTAACGCGATCGCCTTACTGTCTTCCTCTCCTTGGCCATCCGTCCACCTAGCTGCTCTTGCTGACTGTTTCCAGCCCAACTGGGGTTTCAGAAGGACAGAGGAGAAGCCAAAAGGTTTGGATTTCTGTCCTGTTGCACACACGTGGGGTAGAGAAATGCTACCGCTGCTGCACAACAGTGTGGCCCGTCGTCTGCGAATGTGATTACATCCGTTTCAGAGCCGCTTCAGGCCATAAATGCTGACCTTCAGAAAGCCGCCTGCAGTTGTAAACCTGGACAAAAGTCCAGTTTTCCACGGTAGACAAGGAGAGAGAGAGAACACATTTCATCCTTGTGGAACACTGCAGTCTGTAAATACTGTCAGACGGAATCTGCCTTTTAGAAAATAATCAGGGTATTTTGAGGTGAAGATCAGCTGCTTCCAGCCAGAGAACAGTCCATCTTCCACCACAGACCTGGATGAAGCTCTGCAGATCAGTGGAATCGCTCAGAACCCACATCAAAGCTGCTAAGAGCCGGGAAGTAAAAAGACACACGCAGCTGTTGACCAGTGACAAAGGCTTGCTGGTGCAGCCCCTGTCATTGACCGCAATTCCCAGAGAAGTCTGGGAAGGGGAGAGGAGGCAGGTGGGAGAAGGGGACTTTGAGGGCCACAGCCGTGGCTCAGACTGCAGAGGAGCAGAAACCGTGTCTTCTGAACTATCTCCAACAAAACAAAACACACCTCCCCCACTCCCAACCGTATCCTCGTTTAGCCCAGCCCAGTCTCCTCCAGCAGGAGAAAGGAGAAAAGCTGTTTTTTTTGTACACCGAAGACCCACGTATGACTACACATTGTAGCCAGTGGTGCTGTGCCCTCAATAGAATAAAGCAGGATTGCTGAGAGCCAAGGGAGGTACAAAGAGAATGTTTCATGGTTCCGGGCTCAGGAACATCTCTGTGAGCTAGGTCGATCGAGAAATGCCCCAAGGAGGAAAGCTTCAGTGGTATGTTGAAGGTGAGGAGAAGTCAAAGAACGGAGAGAAAGGAGGACAGTGGAATTTACACGGACTCGCATTTACATCGTGCTTTAGAGTTAACCAAGTATGCTCACGTGTGTAATCTCCTTTCACCCTCATTGGACTGTAGGGTCCCGAAGGTACTGTCTCATTTGAGAGGCAGTGTAGCACAGCAATTATGAAGGCGGTTCTTTAAAGTCCTGGTTCAGTGTGGCAGACGGAATAAATACATTTATGCCTGCTCCCTCAACAAATTTCACACAAATAAAAAGAAAGGAACATGAAGGAGCCAATGATGGGCCACACATGTCGATACATTTTTGGAAGATGTCAAGGGGATAGAGGAGTGGGAATTGCTGAGATAGCTGAATACCAGGTACTGCAGCAAAAAATGCTAAGGCTGGGCATGGTGGCTCCTATCTGTTACATAAGTACCATGTGCTAACCGATTGAGCCCCTGGAACTCCAAGTGGCTCGTATCTGTAATCCAAGCACTCAGGAGGCTGTGGCAGGAGGATTGTTGCAAGATCAAGGCCAGCCTGGGCTGCATAATGAAACCCTGTCTCTCAACACACGCACACCCACACCCACACACACACACACACACACACACACAAAGATGCCAAGGCAAGGTCAGCCAGTTGGAGTCTCAAGACCAGGGAAATATCAGATACTGAGGGTGACAGTTATTGCAGAAAGTGGAGTAAGAGAATGGGTCTACCTAAAAAGCTGGTCTCATTCATGTCATAACGCAGAGCTGACTACATCTTTCTTACCCTGGCAGGGACTGAGGTTTTATGTTTGAAAACTGAACCAGGGAGTGGTCTGGAGATGAACTTCAGTGGTAGAGCACTTGCCCAGTATGTGTGAGTCCCTGGGTTCTATCTCCTGTACTACCACAAACAAACAAACAAATAAGCAAATGAAAAGAAAATAAGTGAACCAGGGAGGATTCAGTCTAAGAACATTAGGCATGATAGGAAGCAAGGAAAGTGATCAGAATGGAAAGAGAGGTAGTGGGGAAAAGTCTGGATAGTGAAATCCTAGGGCTTATGTGATAAGAGTTTTTTAGAAGGCTTGTGGCCAGGCTTGTACCCTCTATGGTGGAAACTGGTGGATTTTTCACTGGAGACACTGAATACAGAAAAGTCCAGCAGATACTGAGAAAGATCAGAGATAATAGATTATCATAGAAATAGTGAAAGAAAATTTCTCAGAGGAAAAAGATGTTTCCAGGACAGCAATGAATCCTAACAAAAGTGAAACAAATACAATAAATGAAAATAGGATCATACCAAGTTTCATTAGAATAAATTTTACATGTACAAGGATACAGATAAAATATGAAAGGTTTCCTTACAGGAAGGACAAGGTAGATGGGAAGAATAAAGGGGAATTAGGAATAGCGTTATGGCTTGTCTTGATGTTCCCCCAAAGCTTCATGCAGTCATAGGTGGAGCTTTTCTGGGAAATAATTCATGATGCAATACTAGGCTCAAGGGCAGTAGGACTGAAAGTATGCGTGCTACCTGCACTAAGTAATCTGCATAAGATAAAAGGGGCAGAAAGACCCTGCCCTCATCAGGGCGCCCAGAGGGCTCCTCCTACTTCCCTTGTTGCTTTTAATGTCTTCTGTGGAGGCAAACTATTACCCCTCTCCCACCCTGCCTCAGAGCACCCCCATTATGGACTGAAAGCTCAACAAACTGTAAGCCACATAAATATGGGTGTTGAGTATTTTGTCTCAGCAATGAGGGAAAAATAAGACAAATAGCAATGGACAATTCAACAACCACACTGGAGAAATGCCTTCAAAATTCCTACACTATCCAAGTTCCAAATCACTTGTGGGGTAGAATAAAGAATTTTCTGAAATGCAACATGTCAAGATTTTACTTCTCATTCATTCTTTTTTATTGCTATTTATTTATTTAGAGACTGTGTCGCTCTACTGTAATTCAGGTTGGCTTTGTACTCTCACTATGTAGCCCAGGCTGACCTCAAATTCATGGTGATCCTCCTGCCTCAGCCTCTCAAGTGCTGGGCTTACGGGTATCATGCATTCTTTCTTAGAGAGCTACTAAAGGATGTGTTTTATTACACATGATCTTAGACAAAAAGCCAAGAATGTGCTCCATCAAAACAAAAGACAAAACACACACACATACACACGCACACTCAAAAGGAGGCTGAGGCAAGAGGATCACAAGTTCAAGCAATTTAGCAAGACCTTGTCTCGAAATAAAACGTAAAAAGAGGGATTGGGATGTAGCTCAGTGTGAAGGCCTTGGGTTCAGTCCTTGGTCCACCCCTCTGCACTCCTCCAAAAAAAAAACACACATAGCTAGGTGTGGTGGCGCACGCCTGTAATCCCAGCACTTGGGAGGCTGAGGCAGGAGGATTATAGCAAGTTTGAGGCCAGCCTGGGCTACACAGTGAGACTCTGACTCAAAAAACCGAAAAAGAAAAAAAAGTGATATAATTATATTGGAATTAGGGAAGAAGTATGTGATGGTGTGACATAAGATCATCATCTTCTGTCATAAACTAAGAACAAATGTCACAGGTCGGCATATCACTGTACTTGAGTATTCAGAGATAAATACATAGATGCAGTTGAAATATTTTTAAGTGGTTGCTTTAGGGTATGAGACTTGAGTAGGGTGTGTATAAGATAGGTGCCTTAGGACGGCTGCCGTCATCCTGATAAATAACTTCCTTCTTCACCTTAGTTTCCACTTCCTACCTCATGCATGCATCACCGGCCATGAGACCTAAGTATGAACAAGACTTGTCTGCATAGAAAATGAATGTCCAAGAGTGGCCCCTGAGTGGCTGTCCCTCTCTCTCCTCTCTCTCTCTCTCTCTCTCTCTCTCTCTCTCTCTCTCTCTCTCTCTCGCCGAGTGGGCCACCGTGCCGCTTCAGCTCCTTAATAAAGATCTCTCATTCGAGTTCTGTTGGTGTGCGGAGTGGTCCTTGGCAGGCGCCAGTTTCTTTAAGTATAGAGTACTGTATTTTTGTGATCAGACTTGTAGTACCACTTGACTTTTCGAACTCGGATCCTTGCACTTGCAAGGCAGGCGATGGAACCACTGAGCTAAATCCCTAGCCTGACTTTTCATTTTACTAGTTGACTTTTTATTTTGGTTTTTTTTTTGAGACAGGGTCTCACTATGTAGTTAAGACTGACCTGGAACTCACTATGTAGCCCAGGCTGGTCTCGAACTCAGAGGGATCCTCCTGCCTCAGCCTCCCGAGTGCTGGGATGACAGGCATACGCCACCACGCCTGGCTTACTAGTTGACTTTTTAAAACAATGTAAATGTATTGCTTTCTTAAATAAATCAAAATGCAGTACATAATTCAGAATTCTAGAAGGATGAGTGTCAGATAGATTGTAGAGATAGAATATAGACTCACTAGGGCAGGGAAGTGTGCACATTGCTATGCTTTGAGCCTCATAGACTAGTCACTTAATACATACCTTGAGCACTCAATAAATTCCATTGTCAGTCTTTGTATTTGTCTTCAGGGCACATTCTTTTGACCAGAGCATTTCCTCCCCTCATGCATATGCACCTATGTATGTAGGAAAGTCACAGGGCATATTTTCAATAATAAGTTCTTGCTGATAAATTAAGAATGTCTCTGCAGTGAAAGCATTATTCCCCCATGGTGCAGACAAAGTAACTGAGGTCTGATGGCCCATACATTTTTTTTTTGTACCGGGGATTGAATTTGGGTTCTTGTGCTTGCAAGGCAGGTGGCAGAACCACTGAGCTACATCCCCAGAGATGGCCCATAAATGTAACAACCACTATCTCCAGTCTTAGCCTTCAGTCGCCAAGTCTGCTTGGTGTTCTTCACTCAGCAGAATTGTAGAAACACCGTGCTGAAAAATCATCTAGATTTTATGAGAATGGCAAATGGACTCACTTGGCTGGAAAAGAAGTGGATTTGGGCAGGGGAAGATATGAGATAATTCTGGAGATTGGGATAACTGTCATTTGGGGAGAATGTTCTTGATGTAAAGTGGGCAGGGCCTGGAAATTATTCAAAAGAAATGGGAAACCATTTATCTCTTGTCTTCAGATAAAAGGGGCCTTTTACCTTTTTTTTTTTTTTTTTTTTTTTTTTTGGTACTGGGGCTCAAACTTGGGACCTTGTGCTTGTGAGGCAGGAGGTGGCACCACTGAGCTAAATCCCCGCCCACCCCCACCCCCTTTCTGAGACAGTTTCACTACGTAATTTAGGCTGGACCTGAACTTACTATGTAGCCCAGGCTGGTCTCAAACTCATGGTGATCTGCCTGCCTCAGCTTCGCGAGTGCTGAGATCACAGGTATGTGCTACAACGCCTGGCGAAAGAGGCCTTGTAGAAAGCCTCATTTGGCAACAATATGCAGAGTATACTGGAGTGGGAAATTGGGGCCTCAATGCTTCTGAGAGGCTACAACAATGAAATTGTAATGATCTAAATGGAGAGCTGCGGATTTAGCTCAGTGGTTCTGCTGCCTGCCTCCCAAGTGCAAGATCCTGGTTTCTTTCTTTTTTTCCTTTATATTGAGGTTATTGGTACAATCTAGGTATACAAATACAGTTACATTCATCATTGGGATTCTGTACCTTTACATAATAGGTCTTGATTCTCATTTTTCCCCTTGTCCCTGCCCTCCCTTCACTCCCTCCTCCCCTCCCCATTTACAAACACTTCATTTGCATTTTTTCAGTTTCTCATATTTTTTTCTTCTCCCTTACTACCTTCCCCCACCCTTCCCACTTTCCCTATACCTTTAGCCCTTTACTTCCTATTTCACATTATTAATTGTCTCATTAGGATCCTGTGTACTATTATAGTTTTTCACACCAAAGAAACTATTCAGTATTTCAGTTAAAGAAATCTCTGTATGAACATTAAAAATAGGGAATCCTAAAATAAAACTAAAAGGGAAAGTAAAAGAGAAAAGGCAATGATGTAACATTAAAATAATCCTTAATTCTGGAGATGAAAATGGTCCCTGAACATATTTAAATTGCTTCTCACTCTTATAGTCTTATCTTATTCTTTTTTCATTATTTAGAGAATACTTTATTAGTTTCTGTAATCAAACCCTCGTAGATATGACCTTACATATTTAGTA